TGCTATTAATTCTGCCAATTAGTTAATTATAATTTTTATATTATCAATCTTTTTTCTGTTTTGGCCGACTTTCACTGCAAAGTAGGAAATTTTTAGTTGGGAAGTCATTTTATAAAGTGTAAATAACTCGAAGGCGCCTACTTAGTATGCAGGAACTGTTGCACGGAACTCAACACGATTTGTTGGTTGAGTTAGAACGATTACGATGCAAGAAGATTGACAGCCTAGTAGTGTTACCTTTAGTGTTGCCTCTATAAGCTGGTGAACAGCATGGTCAATCAGAATAGAACTGAATTAAAGGGTTGAGTTAGCTCTCAGAGCAGTAAGTTGTAAAAAGAAAATCAGGCAAGAAATAAAGAGGTTTTGACGGGGTGTTAGATAAAGCATCTAACACGAAGAAAAGAGTCGCTATTTGGTTGTGTAAATCCTAATTTAAGGCTACGACGCTTCATGATCAGTACGAAGCAGTTTTAAAAAACGTTAAACACGATTTTAGTCTGGTCCAGATAACTGGCCAGCTGCTTTGCATATAATAAGAATTTCTAAGATTACTGCCATGACAATTAGAGAATTTTTCCGCGTCCTCCGTGAAAATTTGGTAATAAATCACAAAATAAACTCAAATTCCTATGATTAGAGTTGGGACAGTTCATTTTCGGAGAGGAGTAATTACGGTACGGGAAACTTCATCTTTCAAATGATTTTGAATTAAACATGTCAAACGACCACTACATGCAAATAAGCAGATAAAGATAACATTCGACAATATAATTGTGAGATGTTATGAACATCCCCCTCCCTCAGCCTTAGGAAATATCACCGAATTCTCAAGTGACTCAGATCACAATTTGCAATTCACTTCAAAGAAAGAAAGAAATGTATGGAGAACGGCAGTTTCGATGTTTAAAAACACGATTTTTGTGAGGGATCAACGCTTTTTTGTTTAATCGAGCTGTTGCTCTTTGAAACGATGGAATAAGCGATGAGAAACACAAGGAAACTCCTGGGTCAAGCGATAGTTCGGATTCTTACATTTACACTAACTATCTAAGACCTAGTTCATCAGTTAACGCTTCCTCTGAACACATCGAAATTACCTCAGATTGTTTTATCGTCGAATAATCATGCCTAAAGGGAATAGATCTGCTGTAAAACAACGAGTTATAAAGAAAAGTGTCAGTGGTAAGAA